TGTGTAAACATATGTAAACGTGTGCTAAGATTCAGAACTCAAAGCTCCTCCCCATAAACGAGCCGTTCAGAAATCATCATAGTTTTGACATCACATCAGTGAGCTCATTAGCATGTGCCCGCCCACCAATCAGCTGTTCAGTATTCAGAAACTCAGCCACTCAGATGAATGACAGTCTGAACCAGTCATTTACATCAAGAAGTCTTAAAGGTACGGTAACATTTAGGCAGCTGTTTTAATCCTGAGAGTCAGTGGGAGGGTGGAAAATTAACTTGAAATGCTTCAAAAGTGCAGAATATGTTCCCTTAAGAGTTTGGCACATCATGCCCACATCATTAAAGTCTTCAGAGCTTGTTTTATGCTGTTGTGGACGTGTTCAGGCGAGCTCAGCGGGTGTCCTTCACAGAACAAGTGTATGATAATTACAGAGCTAATAAGCCGTTGCCTGGATTTCCTCCTCAGAGGGAGGTCTGTGTCTCAAATCTGCACTGATGCTACACTAGAGATCAAACATTGAAACTCTTTTTCCTTCATTACCGCCATATGCTGTCTAATGTTTACTCTGAACAAGGTCACCTGTACATTCACGCATGCCGAAATAGCAAGAAAATTTGTGCAAGTCACATTAAACGCCTAAGAGATCAAAAGAGAAAAACATTAAGAAATTTCAGTTTTCAAAAAATAAATAAATAATACTTCTTTGATGCATAAATACTTTACAATTAAAATAACATAGGTTTTCTATTTGATGGAAATGTTTAAATGATTAGTTCACTTCCAGAATAAAAATGTCCTGATGTGACTGAAGAAAGAAAGACGTGAACATCTTGGATGACATGGGGGTGAGGAAATTACCAGGAAATTTTTATTCTGGAAGTGAACTAAACCTTTAATTGTCATTTTCATATTTTTATATATCTCTTTCGAATTTTGGAGTGAAATATGGCTTGTGCATGGCAAGTTTCACATGGTTCACCCACACACAGGTTTTGTAGATATCTGAAATATGAGGTGGGTGTCTGAATGTTTATCTGAGGCTGCCGAGCAATCAAACGCAATTTCAGCATTTGTGTGTTTGTTATTTTTCAAATAAACATCCCTGAGTGTTACAATAAAGAAACCAAAGAAAGTTCCAAGCGATCAAACCTGAAAGCAAGACGGGTTTGCCGATCGTGAAAGAGTGTGGAATGAAAGAGGGATGAAGGGAAGGAGACGGGAGTCGTCAGGGGAGTTTCTCCTGTGATGGTGTTTTAGATTGAATGTGACGGCTGGGACTCAGACTCTTGACTGATGCTGCTGGAGACAGACATGACACCTGCACTCATTTCTCTTTCTTCGGCCTCCTCTTTCATCTCTCTACACCTCTCCATCTCTGGCCGTCTTTTCACAACACTTCAGTTTTCTCACACAAACAGCTTATTCTCAAATGCCCTTTTTTTCCTTTCTTTTACAGTATTTGCCAGGCTGCACTGATATTCCGCAGACATTATATATATATATATATATATATATATATATATATAGCAAATAAAGCAACTAGGCTTAATTAATGCAATATGACCCATTCCAATTTTGATGTGATTCACAAACTGTGATTCACAAAATTATTGAACAATATTCATTTATATCACAAACAAGTACATAGAAAGAATAAATAATAAAAAAATGTTTATTTTGCATAAAGAAAATCTTTTCATTGTAACTTTTTGTTGTAGCCTTTTAGCTTTATTTTCTTAAAATATGTTTATTGTTTTATATTAACAGTTTTATTTTTAAGTAAACTTGCCATAAGGTATATTCTATACTTAAATTGTACCTTAATGTATATTTGGTTGTGTTTAATTGGCATTAAAAATATGAACAAAAAAACCCCTCAATGATTCTAAAAATATGCATTTTTTTGATTCAAAATGACCCAAACATTTCATGACAGTTTTATCTAATTCACAAAATTATTAATTGATATTCATTCATAGAATGTTACCAAAAAGTATTGTTATTTAAGCCACACTTAAAAATGTCTGAATAGCATTACCTCATATATTAAAGCAAGTATTGTTTATTTTAAGCACACTTTTCAAATAAAATCATTTTTAAAATGTAAGTAATTCTTAAATAATTAACTTCATAGTTGATGTGATGAACTACACCTCTAGATACATAAAGACTTCATTCAGTATATCTAAAATCACTAAAAATCATCTTATCAAAAGTGCAAGTTCCAAACAACCAGTTAAAAGTAACTGCAAAATGGCTCAGAAACATGAAGCTGATTATGAGAAAGGTTTTTGAAGCATTTGTTAGCAGATGACACTTTGATATTTTATGTAATGCAATGAAATTCAGGCATTTTTAAGTTTGGCGTGTGTGTGCAGTGTGTTTTAGACCCATGTGTCACTGTATCATCCCAGCTAAAGCTTTAACACTCTTCTTCTGCTGGTTTGCAGGCGCTCCCCTTTCCTTCAGGAAATGCAAATATACTTGTGTTTGTTGTCTGGCTGCTTTATCCAGCATCTGCTGGTGTTGGCAGGTTGTTAGCAGAGACCCTGTGATGCAGTGCCAATGTAATCTCTCTGATTAGTCTTTGTGTGTGTGCATCCAGATGAGTGCTGCATTCAGACTCGGAGCATGTGAACACACACCTGAGACTCTTTGTGCGCACAGCTGTTTGGACAGCACACATCCAATACCTTCTCTCCTATTTTCACAGTCAGACTCACTTTCACCTGTCGGCTTTTCAAATCTCAGCGTTTGGATCCCGCTGCGGCGTAAAAGAACATCTTAATTACGCTTCTGTCTGTTACGGTTTACATGCTGTGACGGCAGCAGATCTGCAAGCCTTGCTGTGACTATTGCTCATGCTTAGAGCTTGGGTCTTGTTCAAATCCCTAACTCAAAGTATTCAACTTTTGTGCATAACTTGTACCGTTCATGCTGCAGATTACTGTGCTATTACTATGCTGTCAATTTAACACGTTCATTTGGTGTGTTAAATTATGGAAAAAAAGAATGCATTAAAACTCATTTAAGGGAACCTGGCCCACGTAGACCTGAACGTCATCTTACATTTCATACATTTGCTGATGAACGTCATGCAGGACATAGCCTACGAGAATGCAGTTATACGCACCTACAATTCAAGATATGAGCGCATATGCCCACGTATGGGTTTTAGTCTTATATTTATATCATATGGACTACAAAACCAGTCATAAGGGTAAATTTTTTCGAAATTGATATTTATACATCATATGAAAGCTGAATAAATAGGCTTTCCATTGATGTATGGTTTGTCAGGAATATAACAATATTTGGCTGAGATACAACTATTTGAAAATCTGGAATCTGAGGGTGCAAAAAAATTTAAATATTGAGAAAATCGCCTTTAAAGTTGTCCAAATGAAGTTCTTAGCAATGCATATTACTAATCAAAAATTAAGTTTTAATATATTTACGGTAGGAAATTTACAAAATATCTTCATGGAACATAATCTTTACGTAATATCCTAGTGATTTTTGGCATAAAAGATGCAATAATTTTGACCCATACAATGTATTGTTGGCTATTGCTACAAATATACCCCAGCGACTTAAGACTGGTTTTGTGCTCCAGGGTCACATATTATATAGTTTACCAATATCACACGAGCAAGAGAGCTGTTTTCCCCGAATATCTGCACAATTGCAAATGTGATATTGATTTTATACAACAGTTCAATAAACGTTTCAGACACAATATTGTCTTTGTTCAGTTTCACGAATGAAAATAGTTCCAAATAAAGGCACGTAGCAGAAATAATGCGCTTATCTGAAGCGTTTCGTTACTGATTGGTTTTTAAGGAATCGAGTGAGTCAATGATTCAGTGACTCATTCATAAAGACTTGCTTCATTTCCAAATGGATCAGCCATTTGGATGTATCGGTTGAATGAATGACTGAATGATTCACTCATTAAAACAGTGACTTGCCGCTACCTACTGGTGGTTTTAGTTTCATATCATTTTTTAAAAGAAAAATCGCTTCATATTTCAATATTCAATTCTTTTAAAAGCCATTAATGCACATTTAAAACCCATTAATCTCATTGCCACCTCTGAAGAGTCTGTGTAAATATACCTAAATGCCACTTAAGATGCAGCTTCTGCAAACAATGTTATAGCCACATTGTAGCTTTAAAGGTTTGTGTGTAATATTCTGTTTTTAATCAAAATATTTATTTCTAAAGCTACTTTTTCAAATGTCTATTCAGTATTTTTCTTATTTTATAAAATAACGACTTTATCTTTTGGGGGGTAATTTCTCAGGCCAAATTGATGTGTGATTGATTAGCGATTAATTTGATTAATTAATTGGCACATCATGTAATTAATTAGATTACAGACGTTAATTGCTTGACAGCCCTAGCTTTTACCTTTCTAAGCAAATGCAACTTTGTTATTTTCCTGGTGGATAAAGCGGGCAGGAAAAAATTATGTATCTAGAGCAGTGGTTCCCAACCCTGGTCCTTGAGGCACCCCAACACTGCACATTTTGCATGTCTCCTTTCTCTGACACACCAGTTTCAGGTCTTGGAGTCTCTACTAATGAGCTGATGATCTGTTTCAGGTGTGTTTGATTAAGGAGACATGCAAAACGTGCAGTGTTGGGGTGCCTCCAGGACCAGGGTTGGGAACCACTGATCTAGAGACCGTGGTCCAGTTGCATAAACATAGCCATGATGTTAAGACTAGATTGACCAACAAGCAGTTAACCAAGGGGTAACCAGTTTTACTTTTTAATTCAAATTAGACCAGTCTACGTTTTTGTAACTGATTTTAAAAAGTTATTACCAGTCTTGAAGAAAAAAAAATGAGATGGCTAACTTTTTAAGACTAGTTTAAGCAGTTTATGCAACTGGCCCCAGAATATCATAGAAACTCGTGGTGGCAAGTTTTACACAAATTATGTCGCAAAATGTAAAAATTGAATGTTTCTAACTCCACGTCTCTCTTGTTCTGTAGGGACGAGGAACACGCTTTAATCCTGCAGTACTGTCAGACGTTGGGAGGGGAGGGCTCATCCTTCAGCCAGCCCCAAACCCCCGCCCACATCAGCAGGAGCCCCGCCCATGACACTCACAGCCCCTCCTACCTGCTCCAGAGCCCCGCCCAGATCAACAGGAGCCCCGCCCATGACACTCACAGCCCCTCCTACCTGCTCCAGAGCCCCACCCAGATCCTGCAGGCTGTGGAGAGGGAGGAGCGAGGAGAGCTGGAGCGAATCATAGCGCGACTGGAGGAGGAGCAGCGGTAGGTTACAGATTCTCCGCGTCGAAGACACCATGAAATCAAAACTGACAATTCTTATTTTTTTATGTAATATTAAAAATATTTTATCTGTGCACAATAATCCCTCCAGCAACCTGTCACTCGCATTAGAGCACAACAGTGATCCTCTAATCCAATCAATTCCAAAATTCTTTCCTCGTTTAAGTTTTACTCCGATTTACGTCACAATAGAAAAAGATAATCACAACTTCTGTTTAATGCTAGCTTTAAGACTATCAAACTTAAGTTATTTTTCTGCATTGATTTTTGTGGAAAGTCTGTGGATTTGCATGTAAAACATCTTCATTTGACGAATCCTCTGGTTTTTACTTTTAATTAGAAGTTACAAGTCACTGTTTTAAGCAAAACAAATGTGCAAGTGGAGAACTTCAGTCTGTGTGCATTGAATTTATTTAATACACGAGTTTCACAATTTGAGTTGAATTACTGAAATAAATGAACTTTTCCACTCAATAATTTATTGAGATGCACCTGTATAAAGTCTAGCTGTGATCTTTAAGCTGATCGATCTGAAGTCCTTTTCAAGGAAAGTCAGTTCACTCTGTAGCCATATTTGCAAACCTTAGCGCAACTATTTCAGTTAAGTGAGACCTACTTGAATGAGGAAATACTGAAATCTTAAGAACTTAAGAACTGGCCAAGCGCACATCTAAATAACATCTTTCAAATGAGCAAAACAAAATAACGCGAACTGTCCCATAAATATTGTTTTTTTTATACTAAAATAGCATTAAAAAGCATATAGCAAATGCGCATGTGGAAAGTGTAAAATATGGCAGGAAGGCTGAATGAAAATTCAGTCAGTTTTCTTTGAAGTGGAATGGAAAAGAGATTTGAATGCCACTCTAAAAATTCAGTTATATTTATGTCATGCAAATGTTTGTGTCAGTCTAAACAGATGCATTAACAGCTGTTCATTCGAATTAAAAAGTTTATCTCACCAAATATTAATCTTGGTGTGAATGTAGCATGAGTCTCAGGATACTGACTGATTTTATGGGAACCAGAACTTCTAAAAGCAGACTTTAACAATTGGAAATTATTTGTTTTGTTTAGAAGGTGGGACCAGAGCTGCCACATTGTACATTGCAGTTTCTCCCATTCATACAATAAATGATGGTTTTACTTTTAATTTAATTAATGTTAAGGTTACACCATAATTCACCATAATTAGTCTGGTTATGATTTGCATCTGTTTAGTGTGTGTTTGGCAGTGGGCTGTTCTGTAGCTTTCTAATAATAGGCTGAATATGGCTGAAGGTCCCTTTAGGTTCACTTTTCTTCATTGCCTTTCAAAGCAAGAACATAAAAGAACCGGCGCAGCATCCACCAATCATAACTCAAACTCACAATAAACAAAAAGCCGGTGTTATATATGGCATATAAACATTCTCTCTGTCTGTCCGTGGTCAGGACCCTGCAGAGGGAGTATGAACAGTTGCGCCAGCAGCACGGTCAACCTGGCGCGGGGGCCGCAGCTGTTAGCGGGGCCCCTGAGGAAGCAGACCTGTTAGCTGAAGCTAAACTCCTGCGACAGCACAAGGGACGGCTGGAAGCCCGCATGCAGATACTGGAGGACCATAACAAACAGTTGGAATCACAGCTCTACCGACTACGCCAGCTGCTGCATCAGGTATCACACTTGCTAGTGAACTGCCTACCTAGATGGCATTTTAAGAGGTGCTAGGCAGAAAAATTCTTCCCTCTAAAATAGGGCTGAACGATTAATTGCATTTGCGATAATATCGCGATATGAAATAACGCGATTTTTCAATCGCAGAGGCTGCGATTACACTCGGTCACGTGACACGCGAGAGTAAAGAGGTGTGTTCCACTTGAAGATCGATCGGTGTGTGTCATCAAAGTACGGCGAGAGAAAGCATAAGGAGACGTCCGCGCTCTCTTATAGCTCTCGCAGTACTTTGATGACACATCCATCGGTTTAAGCAGCGCTGCTTCAAGTCGAGCGCGGGCCATCAGCAGAAAAAGAAAATAAATAAAACAGTAAACAGCCAAAGGACGTAACTTAGAATGGGAGATGGATTGGTTTGTGAAAGGGAAGAGAAAAGCCATAGATGAAGTCGCACAGACCCAGGCAGGTGCTGGTCATTTAAAAGCTAAATGCAGAAAATATGACGAGGTATATCTTGCTCTCGGCTTCACTCACTGTGTCTAAGTTATACCAGATGCTACAGTTGTCGCGTCGCGCCACAGCAGCTCTACACTGGACGCGACAAAGCGACCATTGCAAATCATTTGAACTTTGTGTCAGTACGTCATAGAACAAGGCATCAGTTTAATGTCACGCCGCATCCAGTGTACACAGCGTCACTGATAATAATGGTTCTGCTGTATTTTGCCACTCGCGTCCGGTGTAGACACGGTGTTTAATGTCGTTGGTGAGGAAAGCCTGTGTGTGTCCTATGCCTTAATGGACAGCATGAAACCCACAAAAAAGAAAAAAAAAATAACAGAAAGAGAATAATGATAATAACAGTTATTCTCTCTATGCTATTTTTCAATGTTTCAAGTGATGCAGGTGCTTTTTTTTTCCCTGTAGGTTTTTTAAATTAAAAAAGCATACATTTTTCATAATGTTTAATGAAATTATTTGGTAGTCTGAGGTGGAATGGGGATTCGGGAAAGGGGGCAGATTTTTTTTATAGGTTTAAAGGGGGGCGCGACCAAAAAAGTTTGAGAACC